CGATGTGATGATTTTTCACATTTATTGAATTGATGGTAAACTGATTCACTACATTGTAATGATTTCGGTAGACCATAAACCGATTTATATGCAAATCGTACCTTATCCCATTCGGTTTTATCTTCAATACCACGTATTATAAATGATTTTTCACCATTGGCCATCCATACATCATTCATAGTGATAATAGCACCAATCATCATCAACAAGTATTGGGAACATTGTCGTTTACAAACCATATCCATTGAATCAAAATACAATTTTAATTAACTTTTTTTTTTCTTTCTGTATTTTTTAATTAGAAAAAAAATCGAATACAATTAATAAATAATCCTTTTTTATACGAATAATAATATTACAATAACAACAACAACAAAACAAACTAAAAACTAAATAACTAAAAAACAAAATTTAGCAAAATAAAATCAATTGCTATGAAAATTTATATGAAAATTCTAATCATTCTTGTTATTAAAATAATTCGACTTCTGGAATTTCTTTTTCTTTTTGTTTGTTATTAATTTGATTGATTGGAAACTGAAACATGAAATTTTTTAAATGAATTTTCGTTTATTGAATTTTATTTTTTTTATTGATTTTTTGTTTGTTTTGTTTAGTTTGGTAAGTGTCGATTAAGTTTTTAATTTATAAATCTGTTGTTGGAATTTCTCGCTCAATATATTTATCCATATTCATTATTAATTCAACTAATATATTTACTATTCAAACTATTCTTCAAAAATGAACAAACAAAAAAAATTATTTATTAAATTAAGTAATTTGTTTGACTTTTGAATGAAAAAAAATGAAATTCTTAAATTTTTCGAACAAAGTTTATTATCGAATTCTGTTGTTTTGTTTGTGTTTATATTCATTCTCAAAAGAATTGTGTATTTGGTTCATTACTAATATGTCCTATTAAATCATTTACAAGATTTGCTATTTCCTGCAAATCTGATCTTTCATTGTTTGTTGGATTTTGAATTAAATTGCTCGGTAATTGTTGTCCTGATGGACCCGGTATTGGCTGTGGTTGTAAATTATCTGTCATTAATCTTCTCCTGCTAGTTGGTGGTGGTGATGATGGTGGTGATCGTTGTCGTACTGGTGATGATCGCAATGCTGATGATGATGCTGATGTTGGTTGTTCTGATATTGGTTGAGGAGAGTTAGGAGGCGAAGGTGTATATGCTGATAGCGATGATGCATCAGATCCTGGTGATGGCGGCGGTGTTATGGATGCTGACGGCTGCTGCATCGGTGGTTGTTGTGGTGGAGGTGCTACTTGCGCTACTACTGGTGGTGGCTGCTGATGTTCATTTATTAATGGAAATCTTCCCTCATCTCCAATTGGACGTGGTGCTGGTAATGGATTTTGTGGTCTTTCATCTCTTAATATTGGTCTTGGTAATCTTCTTATACCATTAACTTGTTGCTTATTTTGTTGTTGTCGTATTAGTGCTTCTTTTAATAAAATTTTATGTTTTTCAAGTGCTTTTTCCCACATTTTTTGAAATTTTTGCTCTATTGGTGGTAATATATTTTCATTAGGAATATTTTCATTAGGAATATTAAAATCTTTTGGTTCAAGACCAACATGTTGAGTATTGATTTTTTTAGGTGTTTGTGGACTCCATTCACTCAATTCAATCGGTTTATCAAGATGATCGGCATTTGTAGATGTTGTTGATGAAATACTTCTTAAATCTTTTGATGGAACAATCTCTTCTGTTGTTAATTTAATTTTTTCACTTTTCAATCGATTTTTAAATTGTTCAGCAACTTGTGCTTTTTGTTTGGCGCTGAATAAATAATGATTGGTTTGTTGCGATCAGAAAATTGTGTTGAATAAAGAATTTTTTCAAGAATAAAACTTACTTGGCACGATATTGTCGACATCCAATGTATGCACCGACANCATTAGGATCAATATCGATTTTATCCAAATTGACAATAATATTTGTTAAATTTGTTAGATTTTTATTTGTATTTGTTGGATCTTTGACTAAATTGATCGATATTTGATCAGATTGTTGTTGTTGTGATTGATTATCAGTTGTTGTTGTTGTTGTTGTTTCTAATGGTATTGATCTTTTTATCTTTTTAGTTACTGGTGGTGATGTTGTTGGTGAGTTATCTGATGATGATGATGATGATGTTTCGTAATTTGAATATCGTGCTGCAAACTTTCGATAAAATTGTTTTTTATTGTCTGGTTGTGGTATTGAATGTTCATATCTTGATTGTGTTGGCGATGATGATGATGATGATGAGTATCTTGATGGCGATGATGAATATTCAAATCTTTCTGGAATTTCATTAGATTGAAGTGTTTTTACATTTGTTGGTGCACCAGTATCAGCAGTTGTAGTTTTCAATGGGACATTCATTTGTTCAGCAAGTTTTCCTTGTGCTTTAAGCTTGGCACTAAAAAAATGATTGATTTGTTTGCAATCAGAAAAGTGTGTTAAATCGAGGATATAACTTACTTGGCCCGATATTGTCGACATCCAAAGTATGCACCGACAGCAATTAGAAGAATAGTAATGACTGTGGCAGCCACACCGATAATAATTATCATTTCTTCTGTCCACCAACAATTCCAACTTCCTTGTGATGAACTGATTTTGTCGCATACTGATGTAAACAATTGTCGTGTGTTTGTTTTGATCTGTTGCGAATAATTCCGGTTACATTTTGCCGCTATTTCTATTTCACAAGCCATCGNGACAACCACACCGATAGTGCTTATCATGTCTTCTGTCCACAAACAGTTCCAACTTCGTTGTGATGAACCGATTTTATCGCACATGGAAGTAAACGATTTTCTTGTGCTTGTTTCGATCTGTTGCGAATAATTCCGGTTACATTTTGCCGCTATTTCTATTTCACAAGCCATCGTATGCCAAACGAAGCAACAAAATTGTTTAGTTTCATAGAACTTTTTGTTTCAAATGACAAAACGAAAATTGGTTTGATTAATTTTCGAGAATCATTAAATGCAACTTACATATTCGTCAATCGTAACTTTCCATTTACGATGTGATGATTTTTCACATTTATTGAATTGATGGTAAACTGATTCACTACATTGTAATGATTTTGGTAGACCATAAACCGTTTTATACGGATATCGTACCATATCCCATTCGGTTTTACCTTCAATACCACGCATTATGAATGATTTATCACCATTGGTCATCCATACTTCATTCATAATAACACCAATCATCATCGACAGGTATTCGAAAAATTGTCTTTTAAAAACCATATCCAGTGAATCAAAACACAATTTTTAAAACTTTTTCGCTTTAATACGATATAAATTATAATTTCATTATTATTATTTTATTTTATTTGGTATTTGATTGTATAACATTAATTAAATAAAAGTATTTTATAATTTAATATTGTAATACAGCAAAAAACAAACTAAAAACAAGGTCAAACAAAATAGAATCAATCGATACTTGAATTTATAAGAAAATTCTAATCATTTTTGTTTTATTGAAAAATGAAAGAAAAATCAAACAGTTAACCATAGAATACGGATTTGCATAACGTAAGTGCACAGCAATTCTCTATGGACTCGATGTATATACGATTTCGACAGTCTAATTTTAGTTGGAAAATCAAATTTTTTTTTGTCGCTTCGAATCATTATTGATATGATGTTGAAATTTCATTTAATAATGAAATTTTAAAATAGACAATATTTTTGATGAATTGAACACAAAAATTCATACTTTTTTCACTTTCAAGTTCGATTTAAAAGGATTTCAATTTGGGGTCGAAAACTACCAGAACCACCTTAGTAACGACCTGAGTTTCGTTCTACCCGTAATGCAGGGTCAAGTAATAATTGTTTGAAATTTTTAAGCAAAAAAAAAATTGAAATTTTTTAAAAATGAAATTTTCTTTTTGTTCTATTTGTTTTTCATTAAATACACATTAGTTATATACATTATTTCAGTATTGAATGACAATTATACAATCATAACAGGAATTTCATTTGAAGATTTTGGCTCATGGCATTTTTACATTAGGATCAATATTAATTTTATCCAAATTGACAATAATATTTGTTAAATTTGTTAGATTTTTATTTGTATTTGTTGGATCTTTGACTAAATTGATCGTTAATTGATCAGATTGTGATGGTTGTTGTGATTGATTATCAGTTGTTGTTGTTGTTGTTGTTGTTTCTAATGGTATTGATCTTTTTNATATTGATTTTATCCAAATTGACAATAATATTTGTTAAATTTGTTAGATTTTTATTTGTATTTGTTGGATCTTTGACTAAATTGATCGTTAATTGATCAGATTGTGATGGTTGTGATTGATTATCAGTTGTTGTTGTTGTTTCTAATGGTATTGATCTTTTTGTCTTTTTAGTTGCTGATGGTGATGTTGTTGGTGAGTTATCTGATGATGATGCTGATGATTCGTATTTTGTAAAATATGAACGGAAAAATGGTGCTTTTGATGATTTTGGTTCATATTTGGGAGATTGTTTTGGTGATGAAAATGGTGATGATAATGATGATAATGATGATGATGATGATGATGTTGCCGATTCGTATTTGGATGGTTCTCTATATTTCGTATATGACGATTCGTATTTGGAAGAAGATTGCCCATATTTCGAAGATGAAGCAAATGGCGATGACGATTCGTGTTTGGAAGATGATTGTCCATATTTCGAAGATGAGGCAAATGGTGATGACGATTCGTACTTAGAAGAAGATTGTCCATATTTCGAAGATGAAGCAAATGGTGATTTTGATGATGATGGTTCATATTTTGATGTTGATGGTTCATATTTT